TTGAAATTCTTGTTAAACATGTGATACCTTATAAGGAATGAATTCCCAAAGGGACTAGGCTCGTTTACAGAAGTCACCACTGCCCCATATGTAAAATTTGTGTCCTTCGGAAGGATCATCACTGCTTTATAACTGGCGCCTGTGTTGGACTTGGAAACCAAGTAAGTCTGGCGGAATATTCAATTTGAGCAAAATGGATTTTAAATGCACTCAACTGAATTCAAGTACAAGGGTAAAATTTGATGAAGAGTAGCGCACCTGAGGAGATATTGGCTAGGTGGAAAAGTTTACCATTTACATTTACGTTGCTTGCTCCGTTTCACTGGCGGTTGGCTAGATCTGTCTGTTCTATCATTTCTACTTTTCTTTTCCTTCTTTTCTATGCTTAACACCCTTAAATAAACTTGAGCTTTGAAAAGCCCGTAGAAATGACTCTGCCTAAAAAGGTTCCAGTCTACGTAGAAGGTCCCTTTGATCGCGTCGGCTTCTTGCAGTTTTCCGTGTTCTTTCCTTTACGTGGTGACGGCTCTGTGATCACTGTGCCCTCCCGCATTTCACGTTTTCTCGTATGACAACGTTCACACCCTGGAGTCTCCTGCCCTTGAACAAGAACCCATCCCTGGTTTGCAGCACGTTATGTCGCCTTTCGATGCTTTGACAGCCGCTATACTCTATGCGTAGCACAAGATTTCGCGACAGAACTACGCAAGAAAGTTCAAGTAGTTTTACGTTACCGTGACTTATTTCTCACTACTTTCCTTTCTGGTTTTTCTTATTTACTTTGCTTACTCGTGCATCACTCACGTAAAGTCTTGTTCGCTGTGGATGATGTGATGTGTAAAAAAGGGGAGGGGGATGAATTGAGCCCAGTTCAAGCCGTTTTTTAGGCAAACGGCAAGATGGTATCGTATTAGTCGTTTTCCACCAGTTGTTGTCTCTTTCTCACTTCAACAACAGTTGGAGAACGGGCTGGTGGCGCGCTAAACCCTGCTTCACTGACACGCCCCATCATCCGTGGCGAACAAGACTGTACTTCTTTTTGCTCGGAGAAACTGGAAGAAAGGGTAGTAACACTGTATCTTATGCAATCCGTTTCAGCGCTATTTCATCACATTTCTTTTTTGGTGCTGTATAGGACTGATAGCTGGAACGCGCTACACCTTTGTATACTTGTACCGAGCCTCTTCAGAAGGGTATGCGTTCATTCCTATTATTTAGCCTTTCCTTCCCTACATTATCGCTATTTCAGCTTTCCCACTAGGGTTTTTGTACTGTGTTGGTCCAGTTGCCGTTGGACGATGGATCATGGGTTATACAGGTTTCCTACATGCCTTCGTGTGTACAGTATTTTCATTCATGCTTGCTAGCATTGTAGCAGGCAGGAGCATTCTTTGGCATGCAGGTAAGAAATAACAAGAAAATCTGGCCTATAAAAGTCATGTAGCGGAAATCTCTTTTCAGATTTATTATACGAGCTATGGGTACACAATGTATGAATATCATAGCAGTGTAAGAGATGCCTTCGATGGTGACGGGTTAGTTGATTTTTGAATATTTATAGAGTGTTTTTATTCAAATGCTAAACAACTATTCCATTTTCTGAATTATTCGATTTTTTTTCAATTTTCATGTAGCTGCTTTTTTCGATTATTGAAGTCCTTTTTTCTTACTTCTTTACTTTATATGGCAAATTTCTCAACAGCAATTTTTGTTACACTTATAACCCTGGCGCTGTGTCTCAGGAGCAGGGTACAGCATCGTGGTGTGCGAAATGGTGGTGTAGTACGGCAGAGCGTGCCAGTACGACCCCTCCCCCACCTAGGAGAGGTCTCAGTACGACCCTTCCCCAACACCTACCTACCAATTTCAAACATTTTCCAGTTTTTCACCTAGAAAATTTCCCGTCGGGCTGGGGGGGGGGGTACATAGCCATAAAATCGGGAATATTTCCTAGATTTTAACCAACTTCCTCTCAAAGCCACTTACGACCCTACCCTCTTCCAGCAACGACCAATATGCGACCCCCCCCAGCCGAAAAAGTACGAGCCCCTTTGTGTTACACACACCGTTGCTGCGCCCTGCGCAAGAGAGCTGCTCTGAGCGAGGCTTAAGCCATCTTTTCTGATGCTGACAATTTCCAAATTCATGCTGTCCCAGTAAGATGCAGATGTGCCTCGTGAAGACGTGTGTGAAGTTAAGCCACGGTCAGTGTTTCTACACCGGTCCTTGAAGGCAGAAGACACGATTTGGTACTCGGAGCAAGGGTGCTATGTAGTGAGGAAAATGGCAAAAAAGCGAAGTGAGAAGGTCAGGGAAGCCTTTGTCCACACGGTTCAGAAAGCAATTTTGGACGAGTTTCCCTTGGCGTTGTGCCAGGCCCCGCTACAGTAGGCTGCCATCGTTATGTGATCTCATATGTCTATGCAGCCACTAGAGCCGCTTCCATACGATCCTTCGCCTGTCGTATTGTGCTTTGCACATGAAGCAGTACGAGCATGAGCATCAGTCGGACATTTGTGGGCGGACTGGCGCGGTGGGCATGAGGTCCGGTATGTTGCAGCTTGATAGGGCGCTATAAGTGTACCATCATTTCACAACTCCTTCCTTTCACGCAGACGAGTAGACATGACCGTGGGTTCAGTCTCGCATAGAATAGACTCTCCAGCGGCGCTTAGAACCTATAGCTCTATTTGTTGTGTATGACGAACTTGTCTGAATGTACATGGTATGATATTCACTTTCAGCACAACTCTTGGTGAGAGGTTTCGCCTGATTTTCGGTCGTTACTGGTTATTAAATTTTTTGTTTCCACTCTGCTGGAGTCCCCAACTACTCACAACTGAAATCGCGACTAACTTGTTTCGTGTGAGAAGTAAACAGCTTTAGACATTCATTTTCTCTTAGGTTTGCTTTGATAATCTGACTTTATGACTTATCAGTTTTAAACTGGTTTTATTGTATTACTTCTTTTCGCTTTTCAATAATGCTCTCTTTTTTCACTGATCTCATTCCGTACTCTGATGGCTAGTTTGTTTTTGCCATGCGGGTCCAATGTTCTAGTGAATTGCAATCTCTCACCGAGCTACTTCTTTATATTTATGAATTATTGAACGTTATCACGTTTTATGCAATGAGTAAAAAATAGAGTGATTCGTGTTACTTACTTCAGAAAGATACTGATATAGTGAAGGTTTTTAATGAACTGTTTCCTCTTTTTTGTGAATGGGTAGGTACTCTTCAACAAAGTATAAACAGGTCGCACTGTAATGATATGACGCACTCTGAGAACAGGCTGCGCTTAACATGTTTGTCTGCGAAAAGAACTTTTTCTTACTTTTTCGATGCCAGTTGTGGACCCTGGAACTGAACATGGGCACTGGCGTGCAGCTACATGGTTAACTAGCTGGGAAGAGCGTAGACTTGTTCGCTGCAGATGATGGGCGGTGTCAGGGGGATCGGTTTGGTTTGGTCTCCAGCCCGATTTCCACCGACTATTGCCGCTTGCCCCTTTCAACAATTGATGGAGAACAAGGCTGGCGTCGCGCTAAACCCCCTCTGACAGCCTGCCTGACACTCCCCGGCATCCATAGCGAACAATTCTATGAAGAGTAAATGGAAGGGGCACCTTTTCGTAGACAGCTTTGCCTGCTTAGTCTACCTGATTCAGTCCAGCAAATGGTGTAGTGAGAATCACGAGAAAAAGCATGCTAGGTAAAGCGTTGTTAGAGAAATTACGGGAAATGGCAGCGCTGTTCCGCTCATAGGAAGGGGGGGGGCATTCCGCGCTTTCGCTAATTCCTTTTACGAGCTCATCTTTATTAACAAATCTCACCAAGATTGATGTTAAGTTGATGAGTTCTGGAAGCTCTTGTGAAGCTGCGAAATGGTACTGAGCCACTTTGGTTACAAGAATTTACAGGCTTCGCAGTGTGGCCTGTACAAGCTTCGCTGAGTACCATTTGATGCCCCCACCAAGCCGAACTACACAGCAGAATCCGGAAAAAGCTGCTCTACCTCGGTAATTCCTGGAATGCAGTCGTGATAATGCGCTCATTATCAAAGTGATACACACGTCTGCAAGTTTGCAAAGGCCCCTCGGTTACGAGGACTCGTTATCACCAGATTTTCTCAGGGACTGCCAGCGTTGCGTTGGTTTTGATGCAGCTCCGGTTCTCCACCACTTGTTGAACGCCCGGAACCGCAACGGTCGATGGAAGACGGGCTGGCGCCGCGGCAAGACCCACGTGCCGCTGACACGCCCCGACTGACTTCAGTGATAACGACAGCAAACAAATAAGGCTGACCCAGTATCGCTCATAGCAGGAGTCTCATGTTTATCCAAACAGATACTAAAATGTGAGAATTAGGAATATTTGCTTTAGAGGATCAAATCTTCGTCAAGACAAATACACGTCCTTCTGGAACAAGCAGTCGACGTACGGCGGTTTTGTTCGAGTAGAAAATAAATTTATCAGAAGAGTCGTATTAGCTAACATAGGGTGTACTAGCTGACTCCCAAAATGGCGGACCTGGTGCAGCGACTAGTGATGGTGCTTACTACGCTCACGACCATGGGAACGTTTCAGGACGACCATCCCAAAAGAACTTTTACAGAAAACTTGGCACTATTTACCCTTTACTGCCCTAGTCATCCG